TTTTCTTAATTGTCTCGTTGAGGATTCAGGGTAACTGGCAGCAATACATTCAAAGTTTCATACTTGTCGTACTCATCATTGAGTCGACCGGCGATAGTCTTGGGACCGTTCTCTTCGAAAGTTTTACTTATCTTCTTCATAATATCGACGTGCATGAAGTGTGAGTTTTAGAAAAAAATTGAAACCCTCCCTTATACAAAAGGTTTTGTTATTTCATCTTTACCTGAAATTGTCTTACATAGCTTGCAAAATTTCTTTGTTTCCTCTATCTATTCATGTTTGTTGTAAAGTGTGCGACAAACCTGCATTGAGTTTTGCGTTTACCTTTCTCAGGAAAGATGCATGCATCACTTGGGAGGCCATTGGAGGCATCGATCGTTTGCACTGTATGTTGTCAATTTTTCGAAATACATCTTTTTACGATTCCCTTCCATCCTTCGAGGAGCAGTGCCGTCAAGCTCTAAGTGATGAAGTTTTAACAAAACTGGTTGCTGACAACCGCTCACCTCGTAAAACTGAATTGTCATCTATCTTAAAGGTATGTCTGTGCGTAGAATTCTCTTGTTTGCTTGTGCTCAAGTTCATTTAGGGCGAAGAAGAGGTTGGAAATGAAAGCAGAAACGACGTTGACGAATATTTATTACATCAACATCTCCGACATGAAATTGCAATGTTATTATTGCGCGAAGTACAAGAGCAGTGGAAAAAGAAGTCAGATTTGGACAATTTCTTTCATTTTTTCCTAAATCTTTTCCTTTTTTCAGGCTAACAAGCTCTTTGAATACGTCACAAGTGAAGTGGGTGGTGAAAGTCTCATGTAGTGGACAGTACCCGAAAGAAATTGCTGAACGTGCTGATCAGGAGCTTAGCAAGGTTCGCATCGTCTTACATATTAATTTATGAAAGCAACTGTTTCTATAATTTCGACCGATGCCGCCTCTGCTTCTTGCGCAAATGAAGAACTCCACAATGTTCGTTTAACTAATCATACTACGTTTCATTTCAGTTGGGTTCAGAACAAGCAGCGGAAGTTCGCTTCTGTTACTTGTCGGAGACTCTTCTTGCTGGAGCCACGAGCATACAGCCTGTCCAAAGCTTTGAGAAGAAGTTCGACTCAGGGTTATAGTTATTTCCTACTGCTAACTTGCAATTTTTAGACCGCTTCTTGGCATTTTCTCGACGTTTTACGAAGCAGTATTATCAAATGAAAAAGTGCGACTTCCTTGGATAGAGGTACATGATTTCGAAGCATCACTCACATTTCTTCACATATAATTTCAGAATCATCTCGTTATTCTGGGAGATGTTCTAGACAAGTGTGCTTCTATCGATGCTTCCTCTGAGCGCACATCTCTTACTCCGGCTTTCGTGCAAGTGTTGTCTAATATGCTCCAAAAAGGTTAATTTTTCTTTGCTACCTATGACATCTGTCGCTCTTATCCACTTGATGTAGACCCCAACTCTGATCTGTCGAAACAACTGTGCTCGCTGCTAGCCGGTCGTTTACTCTTCCTACCTTCGTGGCTGCGTTGCGCACAGGCACCGAGTGGTCTTATCCTGAGCTTTGCTCCCATTTTGCAACATCTGAAAGACTATGTTAGCTAGACTTTTTGAGCTGCACTTGCATAAGTGTTATCTCTTCCATGTAATAGGTTGATGCGGAGGTAATGCATTGCGCAATGCGTGATAGTGTCGGAACGATCTTGCGACCCTCTCTTATCGACGACTTGCATGACTTTTATGCCATTGCCGTGCAGTCAACGGATCGTTTGGCGCAGACTGCTCTTACCTGGACTGGAAAGCAATGTTTGTGCTAGTTGAATACGAGAAGCTATAGAATTTTACACTGAGATTTAAGCAGTTGAAAGACGCGATCGTTTGCACAGCCTTGTTCCATTGGCTCGACGAGAGGACATATTTCACAAAGCTTTGATGATTGTTTGCAACTATGCTGATGCCGAAACGCATATCGAGGCGATTTCATCATCCATGTAGCAGTTCTATGTATCTAAATCAATCTGTTTTTTCTTAGGTGCTTCGCCATTGCGCAGAAAATTTGTCCTCATGGATTGAAGTATCCACAGAGGAAGAGAATGTAATGCGTGGGCAAACTTTGCTTCAGGTAAAATTTTTCTTCTGAAGTTGACGTAAGGCTTTCGCTAATCTTCGCTCATCCGAATGTGTGCAAGAAATTGTTCGCTTCAGCTGAGCAGTATTTCTTACGTCCTTTTTACCTGTTTCGTTGCGCATTTTATCTGGCGTACGGATTTTCCAAATCATTGGAAGTGAACCCTCTACCGCATTATGT